AGAGGACCATTTAGAACAGACGCGAGACAGGGCACTTAAGCTTTTGTTGGCTGGCGGAACTAACCTTTAAGGGCCCTAAAGAGAGCTTTGCTACTTATGACCTGGGCGAGAATTTTAACTTACTTTGATTATCTAGAACAAGCTACTCATGGCTCAGAATGTTTGCAGTTGGCCTAGTCCAAAGGTTAGTTAAGAATAAATCAGGAAGAGCATGACTTAATGTGAATAGTTTCTCCTACTTGAAGGAGGGACGAGATAATTAGAAATGAACTTGTGTCATCACAGCCTCTGGGCAAGATTACATCAAAACCTATTCAAGAAAGAAACAGTATGATGTAATTGACAGTGGAAAAGGAATCAGTACCCCAGGTTTCTCACTTTGGCATTGCCATTTGGGAAGATCAGTTAATTTTTGGACTTTTTTGTGTTATTTGGCATGTGGGAATACAATTTACCCAATTATGCTTAGGCCCTGATATGTTAATAAGACTGAAGGGCTGAATAGATTTAAGATGATAAGACTACCTTAAGACAGTTCTCATGGGTTCTTGAAAACCTCAGAGCTTCTGAAGTTGAGATTGACTCCTTTTCTTCCTACCTTACCCCTTTGTCCTACTTGTAAACATTCCAGAGTTGGGTATATACCATCCTCTAAGGAAGTGTGTCTGATCTACCTGGGTTAGGTCCCATTTTTCTTGTCTATATTTCAGCCTTTCAGTATCTTATGTGTCTGAAAAAAAAGTGTTTTAAATGTCAGAAGTGCACATCCAGTCCTTTCTCTACTCTGCACAGAGTGAAAATGAGAGCATTTACATCACTTTGGTCTTGAGAAATTCTTAACATTTATTTTTGGTGGTGTATGTAAAAAAGAAAATACATCCAACTCTCCACTTTTAAATATGCTGGCTATTTAAATGTACTTGGGCTATCTTAATGAAGGCAGTAGGCAGATAACAATAAAAGCTGTTTAACTATTAACTCGTTATTTGTCCTACTCTGAAAAAATTCTCCTAGTTAGTGAATTCCTTTAGGCAACCACATAGTTGGTGTTTTTTCCACAATAATGGGTACAGAGTGAACTTTGGTGCCGTAAGTATTATAACAATTGTTGGTTATGCTCAGAATGCTGTTGTTTTTTTGTAAAAATGTAAGTGAACAAGTGAGCTGCCATTTTATAGCCCTTAAGAACTGTAATAGGCTTTCCCCAGCTGCTGCTCAGGTGCCTGGTCCTTGGGGGGGTGGGTGGTAAGGCCGTGTGGGGTGAGGCCCTCACTTCATCCAGCGGTTAGCGCCCCTCCTGGCAGCGCTTGCCCAGCACTCCTCCACACCAAGGCCTCTGTCTGCATCTACTCAGCCCTTAGCCTGCAGGATGGTGAAGGTGACTGATGAAGGTGCTGGAGGATAAGATCAATGACCTCAGGGAAGCAGCTGGTGTAAAAGTTGTGCCTTTCCAGCCAGGCTTGTTTGCAAAGGCTCTGGCCAATGTCAACATCTGGAGCCTCATCTGCAATGTAGGGGCTGGCGGGCTGGCAACCTGGCCCCGCAGCTACTGCTGCGCCAGCAGGAGGTCCTGCCCCTCCAGCAGCTACTGCTGCACCAGCTGAGGAGAAGAAAGTGGAAGCCAAGGAAGAAGAATTTGAGGAATCCGATGATGACACAGGCTTTGGTCATTTGACTAAACCTTCTCTGTAACACATTCAATAAAAAGCTGAACTCTGGGGTGTGGGGGAAAGAATTGTAACAGAACTTTGGCTCATATATATTCAGAATATCTGTCTTCGAAAATAAAACTGAACGTACTTAGGCTGCTTTGCTCACAAGTGTTCGCCCCACCTTCTGATAACGTTCAGAACAAACAAGCAGCATGGATAACATAAAAAGCTCTGTGCTATGGGGGCTGTAGACATAACGGCCCTGAAGAAGCAACAGAACACCAAGCAAGGTAAATAAGTGCTGGGAGAGGTTCAGAGTTCAACAGCTAACAGCACTGAAACTTTGCCGGGCACTGGTCTTCCTCCTTCAGGAGCAGAGTGGGGGAGAAAGCCTGTAGGCAATGCTGGAGGGAGTGGCGGTGATAGAAAAAATCACGAGGAAAGGAGAGGTATAAAAACTAAAAGTAATAGTAAGAAAGATGAGAAAGAGAAGTATCTAATAAACTTTGTTTACATCTTTAAACAGGTCATCTTATTTAGGCTCACCCTGTGGGGATACGTTTCTTAAAGCAGGAAATCTCCCACTAACAGCAAAAATAAAAATTTATGTAAAATGTTAATATTACCATTTCTATTTAAATAGACCCTTCAATCCACCCTTGAATGTGTAATCAAACAGTATTTGATGTTTTGTATTCAAAATTTATGGATCGCAAATTCATTCTATTTCACACAATTGAAATTACTCCAACTAGTTCACACTTTTCCAAGAATTTTTAAAATATGCCTCAACACCGAAGAGATTACAAGATGTCTAGTTAGTTGACTTTGTATTTCCCCTTCCAACAGGAGAGAACATTATTTGAAGCAGGTGGAATGGGAGCTGGAAAAGGGAGAGGCTGCTACAAGCCAACAGATCCTGATCAGATATTCAAATGTGTTTTCAAAGGAGTGACCTTTGTGCGTGTCAATAAGCTCCTCCATGTAATTACTTCCTATTCCCGGGCTCCGCCTTGGAGTGCAGCCGACTGCTGACTCACCAGACTACTCCTAGTTAGTTTCTGCCGGGTTTCCCCACTGCCTGCTACACGTGAGGCGACACAGGAATGAAAGTTTCTACCCGTCTCCTTAACAACCTTAATAACCATGCAGCAACCAGGCATTGACAGTGAACTTCCATCTTTCTACTAAGAACCAGACCCTAGACAGAGAGGGTGAGAAATGATGTGGCAGGTGTCAACTGCAAGCAAAGCTGACAGATGACAGTCCCCACCCTAGGGCATTCTTCAGCAGCACCCAGTTTCAGCGTCTTTACCCCCACCCACCCTAGTAGTTAAACTGGCACCTTGTCCTGCAACGCCTGTAAAGGCTGGCCACTGAATTCTTCCTTTGCAACAGTGACTCAAACTCTGCTGCACAATGGTATCCCCAGAGATTAAAATAAAGTACTGACGGTTGGCTCTCATCTGCACACTATCTGATTTAACTGAATTTGGAGGACAGATGGACATCAGGATTGGTCAAAGCTCCCAGGTGATTCTAATTGGCAGCAACGTTTGGGAACCTTTGCTTTGGAGAAGCAGTGTTCTTCCCACGCAAGAGAAACCTGCCGGCTTAGCGTACTTAATGACCACTGGGTGGGCTCCCACACTTTCTCTCTTGGAGATCTACTGACACATAGCCCCTGATATCCTCATTATTCGACAGAATAGAACGTTAGGAAAGCAATGGGGACATTTCCAGCGGGGACACTGGCTAGACAACGACCAGTGCCCATTTGCTTGCTGAAAACACAGATTTAGCGTCCAAGAGAAGCAATGCAAAGGTGCCATTCTTTTGATTACCTTTTGATCTCTGTTCTGTTTCATTCCACAACGTCTTGTTCGGCAAAGTTGTAAACCTTGGGCCTCTCAGATTAGGAGCAGGTGCTGCGCCCGAACCTCAATCAAGAAGGGACTGCGCGTTTCACTTCGGCTGGGACGGAACCTCCGCCTCCCAGCGCGGCCCCAGGGCAGATACTATGCTAATCAAGAAAGTTCTATCGTCTCCCCGTGGGCGGGCGGGTGTAGGTTCGAACGCTTAACCCTTGGTGGTTTTACGTGACTGCACTATAGTGCGTTTTAGTGACCTCCTCTGGCCTAGAGGGTCTGGCCCACGTCCCAAAAAGGGGAGGGGGAGAAGAGAACGTGAGCCAGCGATGGAGGAGACACGCAGGGAGGAGGCAGTAGTGTGGGCTGGTGGGCTGGTGCCGGGATGAAGGGATGGCTAATGTTAGGAATATTAATTACTCCAAGCGCTAGCGACCCTGCAAGGACTAGCAGGAGGGGACTGGGGGTTAAGACAAAGGCTCCTCCTGCTCAAATGGCTTCAGCGCCCCTTCCTCCGAGGTTACAGCTTTGCCCTCTACGATGGCAGGCCCTTGGCATGGGACTGGCAGAGTGACTCAGGGGTGAGCAAATCGACTGGCTCTTTCGGGGTTTGAAAGTCTGCATTTCCGAGCGCTCCAGGTTCAGAGGGGACGGTCTTTCTGTGCCCACCCCCTCCTCTGGCCCTTTGTGGGGTTTCTGGTCTCGGCACAGCCCTTCGAAGGGTGGGCTGGAGAATTCCCTACGGAAGCAGAGTGGGGAGTCGCCGAGTAGCCCTCGCCCTGCGCGCCGGTTGCTCCCTGCAAAAGAACCACTGGGGCTTATAGTAACTCTTTTCCACCGACCCAGCAACGAGTTTCGGGGGCCGGGAGCAGAGCGAGGGCGGGAGCCGGAGCCGGAGCGGGGAGTGGTGGGGCTGGTCTCCGCCGAAGGGGAAGCCGTGGGGGCAGCGGCGGGGTCGGGGTCCAGGGTTTGCTGCCCGGCGGGAGGGCGCCCGCTGCTGCGCTTCCTGGTCGGCCCCGAAGCGCGCAGCCCCTGCCGGCGCCCCGAGCTCTCAGCCCCTGCGCCCCAACTCTGGCGTCTCTAGGTTGGTGCCCTGGGGGTGCACACCAGCAAGATCCACTTCTTCACCAGCGCCAAGTGTTCCTGTCCTCGGCCCTCAACCCCAGAGCCAGTCCACTTTGCTTCTGCCAGCGTGGCAGTCCGACTCCCTCCCCTTTCCCGGGGTGTGCAGCGTTGCGGCCCCAAGGAGAGGCGGCCCGCAGGAGTGCGGCGGGGCACCCCCGGGCCGCGGCGCAGACCCCTGCACAACTTCTTGCTGGGCTCGGAGACCCCCGGTCCCACTGGCTCAGCTGCCGGCGGACTGTAGTCCCCGGGCAGCAGAAGGAAGTCAAACCAGTGCCTGGCCGGGGAGGGACCTCGTCAGGGCAGGGGTGTCGGGGTGCGCAGGGCGGTACCGCTTTAAATGCACTTGACTCACCTGCTCCGGCGCTGTGGCCTCCTTCCTCTACTGACAGCTGGGGGCTTTGTTTTCTCCACCCACCCGGCCGGTCGCGCTCCACCCCCACCGCCACACGTGACTCACCGTCTGCCACCGCCGCCGCTCGGCTTGTCCACCCCGGGAGAGCGCAGCCAGCGCCACCGTTCCTTTCGGGGGGTGCGGGGTGGAGACCCCAGCCGAGGAGAGGTCCAGGTAGGTCCAAGGTCACCCACCGGCGGGCCAGTTGGAAGGTTGAACGCAGGTTAGAACCCTAAGGGTGAGTCAGTGGTATAAAGTGTTGGCTGGGGAAGCGCGCTGGGCTTTTGGGCCCCACCCGAGAGGGAGGAAGCCGGCCTGGCTGGGAGAAGGGGCTTGAAAGGCGACATTACACGCTGAATTAAGTACCTGTGACTGGGGACTTCGCACGAAGGGATTTGCATCGGCTTTTGTCACCAATTGTTTATACTCAGACCTGGGGAACAACTGATGATGAGGCGCAAACTAGTTTTGTCAAGAACATTTTTAATTGCACTAGACAATTCTAAACTAAACAATACGATTATTATTAACCAGGCAATAATAAAAATGGTTTTATTGAGCTTTTATATCTGCTGTTTGGTGCTCTTGATCCTTGGTTCTATTTGGAAAACGGGACCCAGGCTGTATAAGCTAACTAGACATTATTGATGTGGGCTCCTTCCACTTGGAACAGCACCTATTTTGAATAAAATGAATTGAGAAAATGTCAAGACGCAGCTCAATATCGGCTGCTTTTGGAAGTGCTCCCAGACTTTGCTGATCTCCAGTGTTTGAAACCACAAGAACCTGTAGTCTGAATACTTCCTTTTGCCCTTGGAGAACACATCGCCTATAATTCCTCCCAGCACCCTCCAAGTTGCATCTCAGGAAAAAGATCGTCTTCACTTCCCCAGTGTCCATTAAAGCGAAGTCTGCATAGCGGGGTGACTTAGTCCAGTGCTTCCCAAACTTGAACGTGCAGAGGGATCACCTGGGGGCCTTGGTTAAGACCAAAGTCTGATTTAGTGGATTCGGGGTTGGACCTGAGATTCTGCATAATACTCCCAGGTAATGTCATTGCTACCGGCTTGAGGATCACGCTTTAAGTGGCAATACTTAGGGCACCCAATTTGTCATTGGTCAAATATTCTGAGTCCTGACTGCGTTACTTAATAGCTCTGTGACTTTAAGCAAGTTTCTTAACGTTTAAGCCTCCCAAGTTGTAAAATAGGATGTTACTAATACCCACCTCAATCTCGAAAATTAAATGAGAAAATTCATCTGAAGTACCGAGGGTAGTGCCTGGCACACACACGTGGGGTTTAGAGATTGTTGAGGTGGTCTTGGCAGGACGGCCGGCACAAACCCCAACACACCTGCAGGGGGAGTGGTGTGTGCACTGAGCACAGGGGCTGAGGCCAGCCGGAATGACAACTGCACCCCCACAGTGCCTTGCGGCAGATGTGTAGAATAAGTTTAATTGCACAAGTGTCATGCAGAGCAAATCATATGTGTTTAAAAGTTCTGCTTGAAGCAGGGACCTGCACTTGGTCATGGTGATGGAGAGGCAGGGGCTGCTCTGACTGCTCTCAGCACTGGGAGAACTTGATCCCCGTGGCAGTGGAAACAATTTTGTGAAAAAAGGTGAAAACACCAAAAGGTGTTTGTGAGAACATGGTTTCCAGTGAACTAGATAGTTTTTACCCTGAGGGACGTGGCTTGGAAAAGCAATCTGTGATCAAAATGTGAAAATTCCCGAAGCAGAAGTGCCTAGGTTTTCTTTCTCAGCACCACCTGATAGCTATTTTCATCTGAACATTTTGAAAGAGTTTTTCTCAGTTCTTTTTGTCATTAAGTTCTGTCAGCTTATAGCACTGGATCTGTAAAACAACTAAGGGTGGTTTTCAGGTTTAACAAGGGAAATCTCACAAAACAAACTGCAAAGAAAATAAATCCCAAAATGTGTTTATTAAAGAACTTTGAAATTTTTAAAAAAGTTCTCCTGTTTCATCTGCAAAACTTTAAAGCCTGATAAATTGGTTCTGGGACATTGAATTAAAAAATAATTTTGCTTTTTATTATAGATAATGTCCAGCTGACTGTCAGATGGGTAATCTATTTTGATATCTGAAAGAGTAAATGAATTGTTAAGGAGTAGTACATTTTTTATCCTCATTAAAAACCTCGAAATTTAAATTTCAATGAATTTATTAATGAAGATACGATATTCTTAGCTCTCAAAATGAATGGGTATTGTCACCCTAGTTCTCATATCTCCCTTCTTCAAGCCCCTTCTTTTTGCACCCCTCCCCCCAACTACGAATGTTTAAGAATCATTTCTTGGCTTTTTATTTTTCTTATTTTCTCCCACTTTCCTTGGAGATTTATGTGTTATGTTTAATTTTCAAGTGTGTGATTCCTTCTGAATGTACCTACATTCTTAACCTGTTTCCAAGCCCCATGTCTGCGTTACCAATTATTCGCTAGGCATTTCCACTCAGTTTCCCACTAGTCCAGAAATTTCAGTGTGCTCTAAATTAAGCTCCACCCTCCATAAAACTCATTATTTTTTTTGGTAATAAATCAAGATGGTTATCTGCATTGGTCCACCTTCAGTGCTATTTCAGGGGCTTGGAGAGGATGTGGGACACACATGAGTATCTTTGCTACCTTCCTGCTGCTACCAGATATATTGGTGAGACTCTGCCTTCTTCAATAGTGACAGGAGCCCACTCATATATAAAAACAACTTACTGGTGTATCGTCCACATATGCAGCAATGGGCTGCTGCATTAATGGTGATCAGTGTGAAGTGAGCTAGTGAGGCTAGCAGTCAGGGTAGGCTAGATTATGCTGCTGTAACAAATAACATCAAAATCTCAGTGGCTGCCCTGGCTGGTATGGCTCAGAAGGTTGGAGCATTGTCCTGTAAACAAAAGGGCTTCGGATTAAATTTGCAGTTGGGGCACATACCTAGGTTGTTGGTTTGGTCCCTGATCTGGGAGTGTATGATCCTGTGTCCCCCAAGCACGAATGGGAGGCAAGCAATCGATGCTTCTCTCTTGCATCGATGTTTCTTTCTCTCCCTTCCTCTCTCTCTAAAAAAAGCAATGAAAAAATGTCCTCAGGTGAGGATATAAAAACAAACAAACCTCAGTGACTTAATACAACAAAAGTTAATTTCCTGCTCCTGCAAAGTCTCCTGGGCAGCTCTTCTGGTGGCTCATTTTAGCCTGCTTCATTCCTGTGACCTCTCCATGAACAGCATGGCAATGGGATGGTAGGTATAGAACTCTGCACTTGAAATGACAGATGCTCTCATCTAGATATGACACAGATCAGTCCTGACATGTCGCTGCTTGAAGGAAATCACATGGTCATCACCTAACTAACTTTCAGGGGTATGTACTCTGAAGGAATGGGAAAGTATAAATCTTGGGGAGGATAAGTAATGTCTACCACAGGGATCCATTTGACACAGCAGGTTGTGAGGGATAAAATAAAATTGGAAACAGTCTAGGTATAGTAGGAGGTGAGCATAGAATACCAGTTGGAGGAAGGTAGTCAGTTGTATGTGGAGTCTTGGGAGAAGCATGGTCCTTGTTGTTGTTATACAATATTATGTAGTGGGACACTGAAACGTGAAAAATTCTGTCTCTCTGCTTCTCAGGGTCACCTTATGATTTAGCCAAGGTCAGCTGACTTCAGGCATTGATCATCTAAGCTCTTCTGTGACGCAGGAGCCGGGGAAAAGCTCCCATCTTGATTATACCCCGAGGACACACCAACCACTGATAAGTAAGGTTTCATCAACACAAGAAACTTTGCTAATTTTGCTGACATTGATGGTCATTCTCCACTTGAAGAGTGAATATGTGTCTATGAAGGATGAAATATTTCAATGAGCTCAAGTCCTGTGTTTTCCCGCATCATTGTCTGAATTATGCTTTTGACAAAGAAATTTCTTGTTTTCAAGGCAATGTTGAAATGTAGCCTAATGAGTAAAAAGCAGTCCATAAATAAGTGGAAGAAAGTACTCATATCAATGTAAAAAAATAAAATCATGTTTTTCAACACGTTTTTTGGCTTCTTCTTTAAACAGTAGAGATTTTGTCAACTAAACTTGCTTCTGACATCTCCCACCACGTCACGTATTTAAAAGAGATAGAGCACCGATGAGTGCTGTTAGCTCTAAAATGCCACACAAACATAGGATAGTGTAATGTGTTGCTGGACACTCAATAATGCTTTTGATCTCAGTAATTTTATGTTGTCTCTGCCCACATCCATCAGTTACTTCCTTTTTAAAACAATTACCTCTTATAAAACTGCTCCCAAATAAGTATTTTTACTTAACATCAGCATCTGCCTAAAGCTAATACTCTGAAAGCTTCAATCATACATTTCCACAAATATCTAATGTGAGGTATTAAAAAAGAGGCAGAGTTTATCAATTAATATTTTAAACTGTATGCCCAAATATTTTTCATGCTATCTGGTTTATTTTTAGCTCAGTCCTTTCTGTGATTTATATTTAAGTATAAATCATAACCTCAAGAGATATGCTGCAATAAACAACTTTGAATGTATTGTTAATACCATGTAGGACGGAGATGAAAATGTTCATTTCCAAGACACAATAGGGCTTATCGAGATGAGTATTAAAGGTGGCATAAGATGACAACTTCACAGGAATCATGGCCTTGTGATAACTCAGGTCTTGTCATGGAGTGAATGTTGAAATAAAAAAAAACAATACCACCTTCAAAGCATTGTTTGAGCTCTTCCAAGTAAATATTTGTGATTTACCTAAAAAGCATCATGTTTTATCAAATTAATATGAGACCTTAAATGAATCAACCAAGTCCTAATTTCTATCAATGTCCATTAGCAGAAACTGCTGCCTCCATAAGGAAACAGAATAGCAGAGTGAGAATATGCTTATTGTATAATATATATTTGTGGATACATCATAGGCTATACTTCATGTCCAGCAGAAGGAGCAAAATGTTACCTCAGCTCATTTAAAGTAAGTCACTGTGTGACAATAAGTATACTACATTGAAAAAAAAATAACATAAATCACATGAAATAAATTAGACGTACTATTTATAGATGCTGTATAGAACAGATATAGTGTTAGAAGAATCTACTACTTCTGTATTCAGTATTATTTTCATCATAGTACATTTTGAAGGCAGCAGATTTAATTAACTAAATATACTGTTGATTAATTTTTTTAAAGAGTAAAGCTATCTCCAAAGTTACCTAGCCAGTGTCTGAGGGCAGGAGATGAAATCTGTTAAGGTTTTGTACTGCAACGTCATGGAGACCAAAGCCCAAATAGCTTTCTAGGGACCAATGGGATCACCACTGTCTCACCTTGGGATTTTCTGGGAGACAATGCTGCCAACTTTTTAATTGAAACATATTCTTGATTTATTAAACATTACTCGCCAATTGCGTTTTCTTTGCAGTTTCCCTATATCCTGTCCACGAGTTGGTCATTGGTCAACCAGTGTGAGAATACTAGGTAACTGATTCCCCATCTTTCTTCAGAATCTTCTAATGGTCTTTGATTCTTCACAAGACGTTTGCTATTGTTTGGCTTTTCAAAATTTACAATTGCACCGGCCTTCCTAAGATGTAATTTATTCAACAAATGGTTTTGTGATGCTTTCAATTGGGTACTTTGTTAGGTGCTGCAGTTACCCAAATGCTCTTTGGTCTGAGGGTCTTACAGAACAAGGGAAGACAAATGTGTGCAGTGTGGCTTGAGAGGTGTTAAAAGATGTGAGCAAAATGCTAAGAGAACACTGGACAGTCGAGAAGGACATAAGAGAAGAGCTCTCACTTGCGTTGGGTCTTAAGGGATGAAGAAGAATGTACCAGGTAAGGATGGTTTGGGGTGGGGCAGAGTGTGCGGGCACAGTATTCCAGAAAGGGAATTTGAAAACAAAGATATCATTAGAGATTCAAGAATGATGAGAAGTTCAAGGTGGCTAAAGGCCTGGGTGTGTGGAATGGAGAGGTCACTGAGGGTGGACTAAGAAAGCCTGGGTGTGTCCAGCTAAGATGTTTGGATGTAATACTTTGGACAGTGGTCTCCAAAATGGGGTGAGAACACTTTAGAGTTCAACACGTTGTATGAGATGATACACTGGAGTGGGGGGGAAGAGTGTGAAAACTTGGAGTTCTTTCTGAAAATCTGAGAAAGTACTTAGGTTTGACAAATAAGTAACATATGGACTGTCATTGGTGCCCTTTCTTGGTCTATATGTCAGACAGACAGAGGGACTTACCAGGTACATGGAATTCTGAGGGAAGGGTTGAGAGCCACAACATTAAGGAGCTGTCCCTAACCCCCTTATTTATTCTTAAAGCAAACTTCAGCTTGTTAGCAGTTTATGGGTAACTGGTTAAATGGACTTATATATATTTAACTTGACTAAGTCTCACAAAATGGATAAATGACTTAAAATGTTGGAGTTAACATGAGTAATACAAATATGAATTTTCACATAAGCCCATGCAAAATTCATGGATCACTTTGAAAAATGAGTATCATAATTTCATAACCTCATCCACTGATGGACTTTCTCTTTGTATATATGATTCTCTGTGAGATGTATTTTGCAGCTCTACCGCTATGAAACAAAACATCAAAATAAACTGCACTTCGAATCAGATTTTAAACTGCTATATCAGAAGGTAATAAAAGCTTTCAGAAATTTGAAGCATATTCAACATCATACTCACTAAATAACATTTTAGTGATAACAAAATATTTTGTCAACCATTAAGAAATAGAATATAAAATTGTGACTTTCATTTATATCTCACCTTTAAAAATTTCAATTTTTATGTATACTTTTCTATATATATTAATGCACTCATTTTAAATCTATGTAACTTATACATGAATGTGTATGTGTGAGAAAAGAAACGTTTTACTTAGAGGAGTGTAGAGGCATAAGGAAGCCAAACTAGGTTTTAGAGTGAAGGTGTCTGCAGTCAAGCTTGTGCTTTAGAAGATGATGTAGACAACACTGTGGAGTGGGAGATGGGACACAAGAGTGCAAAAGATCAGCCAGGCGGCTACTAACCTGATTCAGAGGGAAGATAGTAAGGACCTGGTGATGGAGAGGAAAGATCACCAAAACACGTGGTTTGGTTTTCAGTAGGAGTGTGTGTGTGTGTGTGTGTGGGGGGGGGAGATTGATTTTAATTGATTCCTAGGTTTGTACCTTGCCAGTCTGAGTGGAGGGTGGAACTGTAACTTGAGATGAGGCCTCAGGAGCAGAGTTCAGTTCAGGACATGTAAGTCAGAGGGGCCCAAGGGATTCCTGGGAGATGACTAATGGGTGTTTTCAATACATGAGGCTCAGGAGAGCTTGGAGATACTGATTTTATAGTAGCTTTAATTTCTTGATGTGCAGCTCTTTCTACAAGTGCTGGTCTTAAAAAATATTCCTTCATTTAAAGACATTAACACAATAGCTTCACATTTAAATCATTCATAATGTAATAAAAATATTAAGAATCAGCTTACCATCGTATCACCAAACAATCTTAGAATTTTAATTGGACATTTAGGCTAATTTACTATTTTGTTATTTTTCAAGTGTTATCTAGACTATGGTTTAAGATACACACTCTCTCTGTACTGTGTTCTGTCTTTTCACACCTTAAACCTTCTCGTTGAAGCCAGTCATTTATTTTCTTTTATTACACTGGAGAAACTGTGAACATTTTCCAACTCTGCTGTGTATCCCTTCTTCAGGAATCAGGAGCACTGTTAAACCATGGCGTGATATCCCCCATGTTGGCACTGAACAACCTGTCAAAGCATGTTCTTGCTATGTTATGAGGATGGCTTTCTTATTTCTTACTGTTGTTCAGTTACAGTTGTCCCAGTTTTCCCCCCTTGCAAGGATGCCTTTCATACCATGCCACTTTCTCTACTTCCTTACCTCATTCTTACTAAGAATCTGCAAATAATTTACCAGTTTAATTTTCAGGTTTCATACAATTCAATTTTAACCATTTATCTCATAAATAGGATACTATAATTATATAATGCCAAGTAGACATTTAAACTTGTAATTTCTTCTATCGTGGTTTTATGACATTGTATTATTTGTCATCTCAAGTACTTATACACTCTCTTCTTTATTAAAATGGAATTAATTTTAGTGCAGGGTTTCTCTCTCTCCATTAGAATGGAAGACCCATGCGGGCAAACATTTTTGTCTGTTTTGTGTACTGTTCTATCTCCAGTGTGTAGAACTGTGTCAGGAACCTGATAGATGATAAATAAGTATCTCTAAATGACTGAATGAATACAGAACATAAAGGAACAGAACAGACTCCTAAAATGTCTTGATTTGAATCATCTTCCTTTCTATTTTTTAATATTTAAATCTTGCCATATTGTATTATTTCATTGTAACTTAGCAACTCCATCTATTTTTTAAAACTCAGTTTAATATAAGTTCATTGTGTGAGATAGTTATTTTGATACATACAAAAAGTTGTAATCTTTCAGCATCCAGGAGAAAAAGTCCCTTCAATCTTTTAGCTTACAGATATACTAAAGGCCACAAACAAATCTTATGTAAGTCTCCCAGAAATATGTAGGTAGGAAGGTTAAGTTTACTCTTAAAAATACAACCCAGCATTTATAAGCAAAAGTTCTCTCTAGAATATGGCAAATAAATAAATAAAAATATAAGATCATTAAAATAATAGAACAGGAGATGTAAAAATTGATTTCTTGAAGACCATGACTATCTGTACCAATGAAACACTAATTATATGCTACATTTCAAGGCATTGCTAAAACAGCATTTAACCAAATCCACAAATTAACTCTTGCCATTATTATCACCATTTCATGGTACGTTCTCTTCCCCTATCTAAAATTTGAGAAGAGTAACTGGGAAAATTACCACTTAACCATCTCAGAGAAATCCAGCTGCTGGGAGTGCCCACTGGCCCTGGGGACTTGGGTGGGACTCCCTCACATGCAGATAATGGATGGAGAGTGGAGTCTGTAGTGGTGGGAAAGTCTGGCCCTGACACTCCCCAGTCAGTTGTGCTTGGAAGAAATGCTAACATGGTTTGCCACGCTACCATGTGTTTCTTTGTTCTCCAAGAACATCCATTCTGTTCACTGCTCATGAGTGCACATTTAATTTACTCTCATAATTAGGAGGGTCAATGAGTGAATATGGAATGTAGAATACTGAGCATCCACATACTCCTTCCGAACTCTTCCTCATTTTATTTTCTTTGTTTTTTTCCCACTCTTATAAGGATCTTATAGGAATAAACAAATTTTGGACAAGTGGCAAACATTTCATATTACCTGAAAACAAGTGTGCAATGTGTGCTCTCAATGCTGATAATGATGACATAGAAGCAGAGTCCAGCAGTCCACATAACTGCCATGAAGACTGTTACGGTGGGTACAGGTCTTCACGGTCGGCTCCAGAATAGTGGTATTTTTTGGTGCTAGGTCAGACTCACTGAGGCTGAAGACTGAATTGGCAGCATGCTGTTTATTCGTAATGAGCTCTCTCCTGCACCAAGTGGAACCAAGTGCAAAATATAGAAAATTGTATGTTTAATGTACACAACTTGGTGAGTTTAGAGGGAACACTTCTGATCCTGATTGGGAGAGATCTCGGATTCCAGAGGCAGAGCCCTGCTGGCTTCTCACATCAGAAGAGAGGGCTGTGTATATAGAGAATAAAATAAAAGAATAACTCCCCCAGGAATATTCAAATAGTTAAAGAGATTATAGTTATGGGATGGATTTGGGGGTAACTGCTGAAAAAATCACATTAAAATATTTTAGGGTATGGGAAAACGATCACTTCAACATACTAAGAGACAAAGACAAGATTCAAAAGTTTTGATATCTTGTATATCCAGGGTAATATTTCAGTAAAATGTTTCCATATGTTTTTATGCATAGAGAAGTAAATAAATAAGTAACATCGGAGAAAATATTTTTAAATGGTGGTAATTCTGGATCACAGGGAATTTCTATTCTCTTTTGTATATATCTCTGTCTCTATACTAGAGAGAGGGAGGGGGAGAGAAATTGACTGATTTTAAGGAATTGGCTCTTGGTATTGCAGGATGATTGCAGAGGCTGACAAGTCTGGAATCCAGAAGGCTGAAGGCCAAAGAGCTGACATTGAAGTATTGAGGAGAATTCCTTCTTCTTTGGGAAACCTCATTCATTTCTCTCAAAGGCTTCAACTCTTTGGATACAGCCCACCCACATTATGGACGGCAATGTACTTTAATCACATCTAAAAAATACTGTCACATCAACATCTAGACTGGTACTTGACCAAACGACTGGACCTCATAACCTAGACAAGGTGACAATAAAATTACATCACAGCTTTCAAGCAATCCCCCCTCCTTCCTTTTATTTCTAGTAACAGGCAGATTTTCCATTTAGGTACCACCTCCTCCTCGTTTAGTCCATGCACTTTGGTCACACAGACTGGTTTCCATTTAGTCAACTGTTTCTAGCTGTCTTGATCGAGATAGACGCATTCACAGAACTGGCTGTGCTTGAACCTTCTTTGCAGCTTTATATCCGCAATGCAGTTGGCAAGTGTCTCCTCCTCCTGCTGTGTGGAGAAGGATTATGTGCTTCTCTACCCATTTTATCGTGTGCTCTGTTCCTTTTGACATATCATGATCTGCACTGAGATATGATAGGTCAGGTCATTCTTTACCTTCTTGTATACTCTAGACAGCCATTTCTTGTAAGTAACCCTCCAGGCCATAGCAGTGTTATTCCTCTGGACGTCAAAAAGGTAATGGCACTTTTGAGCCAGTTCCCTCTGTGACTTTTCCAGATCAATTGAATCCTGGATGTTTTCGATGGGATCCTGTTTTGCCTTTTCTAGTCGGGGAATTTTTTGCTCACTGAGTTTATCAGCAAAGTCCCCACCAGAGGCACCACAATTTTTAATTATACAGATAATCAACCCTATTGTTGATATGGCAGAGGTAGTCTCTGGAATAATCATACATATTTCTTTGGATAGAAAATATAAGAGAAGCCCGGTTCTGAACACATAGGGTCCTGCTATACTGGTTTTAGTAAAAAGGAACTGAAAGAATTCCTCAGGGATCAGCCCATGATGAGCTAGCTTTCCTCCGTATCCAGGAAGAGGGGTTACAGGGCAAGACATGGCTGCCCATTGTGAAAGATCCTTGTTGCCTACAATACCCCTGGACCGGGGAGGGCTGCATTCTTGAGAGGAGGCTGCCAGTGGCAGAAAGTACCAACTGAGACAGCATGGTCAGCAAGGGTCCACTAGATGATGTTAGTGTCCCAGTGACCTGGATGAGAATCTGAAAGGGGCAGAAGCAAGATGGTCACTAGCAAATCTTTAGGGATTACTTTTTATAATAAGAAAGAAAGAAGGAGTTACCTTTAAATGGATGGAATGGATTTGTTTGGAAGTACAAAGTGAGGAAAGATGTAGAGAAAGGTGAGGGGGGGAAGGGGTTAGGGGGGGGGGGGAGGAAAAGAGGGAGATAAGGGGGGAGGAATGGGGGGGGGGGGGCAAGGGGCAGGGGAGTGGATGGGAAAATAGACAAAATGTACTTGAAAAATACTTTTTAAAAAAGAAAGGAATGACTATATTCATTGATTCTAAGACAAACTTTTTTTTTTCATTTTAATACCTCTGAAATTGGATGTCATGGCATGTCATAGTTTAATAGAACTTTCTTTTATAGTACATATAAAAATAATGGTGTATCATATTCAATAACACTTTAGGCTTGATGAAAACATGATGTTTTAGCCCTGACTGGTGTGTTTCAGTGGGCTGGGTGTCATCCCCAAATTGAAAGGTTGCCAGTTCAATTCCCACTCAGGGCACATGCCTGAGTTGCTGGTCAGGTCCCCGGCAACTGACTGATGTTTCTCTCCATCTCTTTTTCCCTTCTTTCACCTCTCTCTAAACATAAATAAATAAATTCTTTAAAAATATGATGTTTTAAACTTTATAAAAGTTATTTTTAAGAAATCTTAGAAGGATATGGCATAAACTCCTGGGATTATATGGTGATCTGGATGTCCCTATATTTTTGGAATGGCCCAAGAAGAAATCAATAACTTAAAACTTTGCTTTAGTATACTATTTAAAATGGATATAAACTAGATTGATATAGAACACTTAGTTCCTCAGATTGGAAATGGGAGCAAATCTTTTCCTTTTAAAGCATCTGTAGGTCTTTGATTAAAATGGCCTAGCAATGGAAGAGTGTTCAGTGTGTTTTCTTTTTCTTAGAGTCTGTGGTTTTATATTACTCTTAGTTTCAAATGTCTTCAAAACCAACTCCCACAATTATGCTATAAAAGGTGTTTGCACATGAATATGGCATTAATAATAATATCATACATTATCTATATATACTTCAAAAAAACTTTCATTTTTAGATCTATGCAATTTGACTCCCATAATATTTATGTATTAGGCAGCTTGTTATGAGCCTTTTAGTGTTCAAAAGGCCTGCCTGCTGTCAAGGAGCAGTTAGTGGTAGAGGTGAGACTTCCAGTGGACTAGAAAGAAAAGGCTGATAAATGAAGTTCTAGTGCATGAAGTTATGATCTGTGTCATTTGAAAAGATAGAATACAATTGTAGAGATTTTGAATCCTGGTTCAAAGTTATAGTCATCAATTCATGACCAACTTTCTCTTCACATATATGTATTTCTGTCATTAACAATGGCAATGGTGAACTGAGGCCATTGTGATAAACTAGTTTTTTAAAAAGCCTTATTTATTTTGTGCTAATTCACATCATGCTGTAAATAATTCAACAATGAACTACCCAAGAACTAAAGGCTGAAGCACAACTGTATTTTATTAGCTTGATCTGAGTTTTAAAATGGTTTGGTATGTATCTCACATTTACATTTTCCTAAAGTACAATAGGCAGAAAATAAACACAATGAATAAGGGAGTAATTATATATTAGAAGATAGAAAGTAGTTAGACTGAATTTAGGGTAAAACTCCAGGTAATTACATAGTTTATTTCACTTGCTTTATAAAGGCTCTGCTTACCTTGGGAATTACAGTCCCACCTCATTCAACTACATTTACTATGTTTTGTTGTAATTACTTTTTCTCGCACCCTCCTCTTCACTAGACACTGCATTTCTGGTGTTTATGTAAAACAGGAATATTGAAAGATTTTTTAAAATAGAATTAAAAAAATTAAAATTTCCTAAACTCACAAAAACATTTCAGAGCCTTTTAAATAAACTACAAGGCATTTTCAGAGTGCTGGATAATAAGTGTGAATTTGCCAGATAAGACAGATTTGCTAAGCTGAGCTTTTTAAGCTGAATTATTCATTTTTACTTCTTCTAATTAGACTCCAAGATGTAATATAAAGAAACAGAATAAATACCTTCCTTGGATCACCAGAGGAAGGAAAGAATATGAGTCTTGTGCACAGAGACAGGGATTTGTTTAGAGAAGAATTAGCACTGTGGGGCATTAATATGCCTGTTTTAGAATAAATCATCTGTCACGGAGGGTTGGGACCCTTCTGGTACTATAAAATAATAACAGTGAAAACAGGAAAGTTTTATTTTAGTATTTAGCATGATTGAATTAAGTATTTTTAAAGATCACATGTGGTAGAGATTTAAGGAAATTACTACTGATAATCCACGAACCGGGATTGTTCTTATGTTAATGTGACAACCATATTGAAACTTCTATCTAAAGTTCTGTAAACTCCTGAGTCTAAATAGAGGCACAGGATATCAGTTGTCAATAAAACTTCTTAAAAAATTTTATCTCTGACCACTTTCTAATTGTGTATAGTCTGAAGATATAGTAAGAAAGCACAATTAATCATGGTAAAGTATTCTAAACAAATAGCAGTAACAAATAAATATTTTTCTGTGTACAAAAAAAGCAGAATCAGTTCTTCTGATTTCCAAAATCAGTTGGCAATTTTCACAATCATGTGTCAAGCATTAGGTGTTCTACTTACTAAAATGCGTACTCTCATTTGTTATCTATTATGGGAAGCATTCTTCTGGGCACTATAGACAACAGAAGCCAAATTCTGCTGTTGCTGCCTACAGGTTGCTTATGGACCAGTATGAGAGAAGACTCCAACTCAGTTAATTATAACACAACGGGGCTCTTCACACCTTCATAAAGGAGAGGTGTCGCAGTCTTCAAAAGTGGGGCTAGTAACTTCACCATAAAATTAGGTGCTGAACAAAAACTTTACTGGCTGCTGAAAGAAAAGATGGGCTGTGAATGGTCAGAAAAGTGAATGGGAACCCCTTAGAAGAGCTTCCAGGTGGTCCTCCAAAATATGAAGGCTGCAAGATACATCCAAAATGAGATCCTCTTAGGCAGGCAATACTTCTCATTTGGAAAGAAGCTAGTCCCCACTTCGTAGCATCTCTAGGTGGCTGCAGAGGTGGGATAGAGATGTGGGATGTGGGATCCCTATCCCATTTATTGCCAAATAAGTTAACACTGAGTGCATTTTGGCAATAAACTCTCTGACATGAACTAAGTCTCTGCTAGACCCTTGGTCTACATGAAACCAATTTATATGAGCCACTAATTGTGATTCTGCACCTTTCCCCCCATTCTTTTCCTTCCACCTCCCAGCTGATTGTCTTGGCCCAGTTGCATGGTAAGTGAACAGACTGTCTTTATTATGATCAATAAAATCACTGAAAATCACTTGTCCAGCCGTATGTCATGATATAAAGTAGGTGGGCCCCAAGCCTGGAGGAACCTCTCTGTATGGTCCCCACAGCCTCCCTGAAACCCTCTCCTGATCATAATCCAGGCCTGAGGCTCATATTTTTGTTATCCCACATAGGACCTCATAAAGCAGAGAGCAAATGAGTCTTGCTTAACAGGCTTTCGTTAGAGCCATAAACAAAGCTCAACCTGATTCTGAGGAAAAGCTAACATTTATTTCAGTTACCTTTCTGGGTATGAAATATTTTTTTAAGACAAAAACAAAACCCATACCATAATCAGTGTTTGTGCCTTGACTAACTGTTAGACGAAAACAGGCCAAATGGTTAGCACATTTAAGACGAAAGAGAGCCAAACTATTCAACTGGTGAGTCTGTTATTCAGACTGGAATAAACTGATTGGAGTAAAAAACAGTACCAATATATTTTAATTTTCACTTGGAATCAAACACTGGGGATTATTTACATCTTCAAATCAACTGAAATGGGTGGTTTCTGAATACTATTCTGCTTCATATGCACTGACATTATTGATGTGCATTGGGTGAAACAGTTGCTTTGTGGTCTCCACCACTGGGTCATGCTGGACAGGTATCACTGTCTTCTCACTTAGAATGTGCATACTCCTGTGGCTGCACTGCCATTTTGCTATTATTAACTGTTCATTTTCCTCTTAGAAGAATGTGCTTGTAGCCATGACAAAGTACGAGGAAGAGTAGAACATGACAATGCACTGCTGCCTTTTTATATTCTATACATTATTTCAGTGCATCTGTCATTTGGAATATGATCTAAAAGTTTAAATATGTGTGACCTGGCATGTTATATACTCAGACCTTTAATGTTGATTTAATAAACATTTAACTGTAGTTCATAGAGTATCAGGCATGCATATCAGACTTTCCTATGTGTATAGCATTATATTAAAGTTATAACCACATCATTCTTTTTTTCCATTGAGATTTTTAAAGTATATTTTATTAATTATGCTATTACAGTTGTCCCAAATTTCTCCCCTTTGACCCCTTCTGCCTGGTGACCCCCTTCCCTCCAGCAATCCCCCCACTTAGTTCATATCAAGTTCTTTGGCTTCTCCACTTCCTATACTACTCTTATTATCCCCCTATCTTATACCTACCGATTATGCTTCTTAATTCCTGCACCTTTCCCCCCATTCTTTTCCTTCCACCTCCCAGCTGATAATCCTCCAAATGATCTCCATATCTATGATTCTGTTCCCATTCTGGTTATTTGCTTAGTTTGTTTTTTTTAGATTCAGTTGTTGATAGTTGTGAATTTGTTACCATTTAAATGTTCCCAGTTTTGATATATTTTTTTCTTAAATAAGTTCCTTTAACATTTAATGTAATAAAGGCTTGGTGGTGATGAACATCTTTAGCTTTACCTTGTCTGGGAAGCACTTTATCTGCCCTTCCATTCTGAATGATGGCTAGAGTAATCTAGGCTGTAGTCCTTGTTTTTCATCACCTTGAATACTTCTTGCCAGTCCCTTCTTGTCTGCAGTTTCTTTTGAGAAATCAGCTGACAGTCTGATGGGAACTCCTTTGTAGGTAAATACCTGCTTTTCTTTTGCTGCTTTTAAGATTCTCTCTTTATTTTTAACCTTTGGCATTTTAATTATGATGTGTCTTGGTGTGGTCCTCTTTGAGTCCAACTTATTTAGGACTCTCTGTGATTCCTGAACTTGTAAGTCTATTTCTTTCACCAAATTAGGGGAGTTTTATTTCATTATTTTTTCAAATAAGTTTTCAATTTCTTGCTCTTCCTCTTCTCCTTCTGGCACCCCTATGACTCAGGAGTTGGTATGTTTAGAGATATCCCAGAGGTTCCTTATACTATACTCATTTTTTAAGATTCTTTTTCCTTCTTGTTGTTCTGGTTGAATGCTTATTTCTTCCTTATGTTCCAAATCATTGATTCTAATCCTGGATTCATCCCCTCCACTGTTGGTTCCCTGCAGATTTTTCTTCATTTCACTGAGTGTAACTGTGGGGGTGACTTCTTTTGAGAGGGTCCCCCCGGTGCCACGGACATGCGTGAATGAGTAAATATGGCCAAGACAAGATGAGATCTGTTTGGGAATGGAGGAGTGGGCTGTGGCCAGTTTCTCCTAGGAGAAAAAGGCCCTGAGCACTCTCTTCCATAGCCTTTTATTGGGTTGTAATACACAGGAATACAGGGCGGCAAGGATCAAACAGTAGATAACATTACAAAGAGATTTGAGGGCTTCAGAGTCAGTGTCTGTCAGGAAGAGAGTTGCAGAAACTTTGGGAGACATACTCATTTCCTCTCAGACCCTTATCATATGAATGAAAGCACTCTTAGCAGAGCAGATTTCACAGGTTTATCAGCAAGTCTTTGTTATGCCAGATTTTTCCCCAGGGCACACTCTGGCCAGGCAAGGAGCTGCACCTCTCCCCATCAGGTATTCAGGTTTAAGGGGATTAGAGCCAGGAAAGGCTTCTCCCAGGGAACATGGGGACTCAGGCTTTGACAAAGCTGGGGGGCGAGACTCCATTGCTCTCTGTTGCAGCCCCCTTAGTCCTTCCATGAAGGCCTCCCAGGTGATCGACTCTGGCTTAGGTTGCCCCCGCGCTGTGAGGGGTCTTACCCATCATTGACTTCCGACCAAGCTTTGGGGGCAGGGAGAGGAACTGAGGCAGCATTTGCTACCAGAGGCAGGCTTTGTCTCCTGTGGCTGGCATTCCAGAGGTCGTCTCTCACCCTTAGCTACAAGGGGTAGAGATACAATTCCTAAAATCAGGCAGAGCAGTCTACAACATGTAACCTTCATTTCTTTCTGGGTCTTTTTTATGTTGTTGCAAGTTCTTTGAGCATCTGATCACCAGCATTTTGAATTCCGCATCTGAAATGTTGGTTATCTCCATTTCATTTAGTCCTTTTTCTGGGGTTTTGTTCTATTCTTTCATTTTGGCCATGTTGCTTTGTCTCCTCAATTTGGCTGCCTCCATGTGTTTCAGTGTATTAGGTAGAGCTGCTTTGACTCCCTGTTTTGGTAGCATGGCCTATTGTAGAAAAGACACCTGTAAATTATGTGGGGTGGAGCCTTAGGTAATCACCAGGAACGAACAACCCACTTCCCAGCTTTGTAGTTCTGTGGGGGAGGACTCAGACAGGGGGAAATGCCACTGCCTGGCTTCTGGAGGTTTGTTGGGCACTTGCCCTGTTTCTAGTTGCTTCACTTACTCCCCATATGCAATGGTGCCCTTCCAACCGTTGCCCTAGTGCTGAATCCCTGAGGGGGTCATTCTGCATATGTTTTAAGTCTGCACAGGCTTTTAAGCAGAGTCTCTTGAAAATCTGGCAATTTCTTCTGCTGTCCCAAACCTCACTGGTTTTTACAGCCAGAAGTTCTGGGGATTTATCTTCCTGGAGTGGGAACCCTGGGCTGTGCCATCGGGCCTGGGGCTGGGATTGCTTGCTCCCAAGGTGTTCCTCCTGATTCTTGTCCACCACACGTGCATGTGGAACTGCCCCTCCACAGCTGCCTCCTCTCTGTGTCACATCACCTCTCTGCGCTGCTCTACCCCTCCTACCGTCTGGATGAATGTGGCATCTCTAAATCCTCGGTTGTCACACTTCCATACAGCTTGATTTTCTGATGGCTCTGGATGTTACTTGTTTTGAGGTCTAATTGTAATTCTTTCTGTGGTTGCAGAAGAGGTGAAGCAAATGTACCTATGCTTCCATCTTGACTAGAAGTCCCATATAACCACATCATTCTGTACTTCAGGATTTAGATAATGAGTCTCCTCTTGTTTCTTTTGTCTGCTACCAATTTTAATATAGTTCACTGACAAATGTTTAAGAATATGTGCTTTCAGTGTTCTGATAAAAATAACCATCAAAATGTGAATAGACTCCACACTTCCCACATATTCCATTAGTCATTATTGCAGGAAAAATGTGAATAATTTATTGGTGAAAAGTTTGAATTAATCCACTGACAATGTAAATCATGCTTAATGGTTCCTAACAGTATGGGATTTTTGGGGAAAAAAGTCATGCTCTTTGTTAATAAGAGTGAGTCCTTGAAGGGCCAAAAATTCTACTTCCTACAAAAAAAGCCAGCATACAATCATCTAATCTATTTCCTTATAGTGTAATCACCTTGGGTAAACATTTCTGTTTTATTATAAAAGGCATTTTTAATTATATGAATTTTATATGGATTCTACCGCACTTATGTAATAAGGTAACATAATTTGTTTAAATTTTATTTTAAAATGCACTTATTTTTAAAAGATCAGTTTTAGTTATATTTGAAAAAATTAAAAATAGAGTAAAAATTTAAATCATTAAAAAGTACAACTTATAAAGTTATATAGAATAGTTGTCTATATACAAAAGGCAGATGGGAACAGGGATCAAGGTTAATGAGAAAGGGTTTTTGAAAATGAGAGTAGTAAGGAAAAGAGAAAATAAATGAAGTTACTTTGATACCTTATATTCTAGGCAAGATCTAGGTGAAGTATAATAACAGTTAAAAAGTTAAAATGGATTTAATGTTTATAATGTTATATGAACAGTGTTTTCCATTTAGTCCTTAAAAATGATCCTTCAAGATGGATGCGATGGTTTTTTCTGTTTTCGGAGGAGAAAACTGAGGCACAGCTTTGTTTCTTCAGGTCACACAACTTTTGAGTTGGTGCCAATCCTAAGAAGTTGGAGTTCATGTTCTTCAGCACTACGCTGGCAAAGACTACGGCTCCCCATCTCAGGATATGCCTACCCAGGTTCCACTGTTAATGGCCACGTTCTCTGAAAATAACTAGTCAGATAATTTTCCAGAGTTATCTTTACTCATTGACTCTACTTTCTTATTTCCCTTTCCCTGATTAGTCCTGCAATTAGACTTCTGCTCTCACCACTTTTTATTAAATAAGTTTTAATTCTGTAATAGTTTAAGACTCAAGAGAAGTAGCAACAAAAGGGTAGAGTTGCTTTGTACTTTCTCCAGCACTTGATATTATCAGTGTTTTTATTTTAGCCACCCTGGTAGGTTTGTAATGGTAGCTCCTTGTCACTTTCATTTGCATTTCCCTTATTTCTAAAGATACTAAGATACTGAAGCTCTTTTCCTGAGCTTCTTGCCATTCATATACCATCTGGTAAAATACCTGCTTGTCTTTTGTTTAATTTGTAATTGGGTTGTTTATTAGTTTACCACTGAGTTTAGAAACTTCTTTATATGTTTTGGAAACAAGTCTTTGGTCAGGTATACAACTTGCGAGTATTTTTTCCCCAGTCTGTGATTTGTATTTTTAATTTATTAACAGTCTTTCTCAGAGCAAAAGTTTTTAGTTTTCAAGAAGTTCAATTTATTGATGATTTTCTCTTAGAAACAATGTCTTTAGTGTCATGTGTACTCTTTGCCTAAGTCCAGGTCATGAAGTTTTTTTCATGTTTTTACCTAAAAATTTTATGGTTTTGAATTTTATATTTATATTTATTTTTTTGCCTATTCCAAACAGTGACAACCTTTCAAAACTATTTTCCATCTGTATTCCTTGAAACAGAAGATAATATTGTAGTTTTAAAGATTCTTCTTACTACAAAAGTAACATATTCTCTGTGTAATAAATTTGGAAAATAATAAAACACCTCCTCCCCTATTCCTTCTACATCTTGTCTTGTTTCCCTTTTTCCTGGTGTTCCTCCTCCTCTTCCACTGCCTTCTTTCCCTCCTCGTTCATGGGAATGATGCACACAAACTTTCCAGTGTGGCCTACTTCTGTGGAAGAAGTGGGGGGAAAGATGAGAGGGGGCTTCAGGAGATACATGGATAGATGCAAAGACTGAAGCAAATATGGTAAAAAGTTTACATGTTTAATTTCGGTGCCAGGGACATAGGAGTTTATAATTTTTTTATCTTCTGGTGTGTAGGATAGAAATGTTTCAAAAATAAAGTGAAAATGAATAAAAGTTCTTAAGTTATTTATTTTCAGATGGAGACACTAAATATTTCTGGTATTTATTATTAAATTGTACTGCACTGGGCAGTCAAAGACAGAGTGCTCCACCATCCCTGAGATAGTAGAATGATGCTTTTTACTGTTTAAAATGCACCAGTGATTTTATTAATAACATTAAAAAACAGGGAGAATATACCATCCTGAATATTTGGGTAGGTGGTGGATGGAAGATGAATGACATTTTCCCTAGGTCTCTTTATGGACATGTTATATACCTTGGTATATATGACAGAATGAATAAATGACCTACCTATATGGCAATTTGGGAAAATTTCCTGATGAGTTTAAGATAATAAGGGCAGGCAGGTGAGGTGACTGGGAGCTATTAGCTCAGAATTTCCCTCAAGAGTCAAGTCACACATTTTATAGGTTTTCTGGGTTTTGTTTGCTGATGGGTTGGTTACATTTAGTATGTTCTTTTTTCAGACATCTTGGTCCCTTTCTGCCACCTTATTAGGCTCTGGAGACTTAATATTCAAGTATAAATATTAATAGGCTCTAAAGATAGAGGTGTCTATCAAAAAGGTGTAGCATTTTAGATTTGTACTTTATAGAGGTATTCATGTATAAAGTGAAGCTGAGAATCAGGGCAATCATTTAGATGATTCAAGAAAAAAAATTTTGTAAGACTCCAATTACCTGGAAAGCTCAGGGCAAATCTATTTTTGGTACAACATATTCTTACAGATACTTCATTTTGCACAGACATAAACAGATTATGTCAAATTGGACTTTTTTGCCTATACCCTAACACACACTTTTGCACATGCTTTTATATCCCTTTGTAAAAATAAGAGCAATAGTTTTGCTTAGAAAAGTTTCCTAATGTTGCAATCTTATCTAATCTTGGACAGCCTCTTTCCTTCTGGATCTCCCTTTCCTTGGCTCTAGAATGTAGGGATTGGATGTTATGAACTTTAAGCTATCTTTTATCTTCGTGCTTTTAAATGAAAACTTTTAAGAGCCCCCCTTCCTTTTCCAAAGAAAGAATTTTTCTTAAAGCAGTTAGGCTCACAGCCAAATTCAGGGGAATGTAGAGATTTCTCATAACCCCCCTGCGTCCATATACACATACTCTCCCCCACTATCAACATCCCTCACCAGAGTGGCACATTGGTTACAACTGATGAACCTAAGCTGACACCATAATCACCCAGAGCCTGTAGTTTAGTTCACTCTTGGTATCATACATTCTGTGGGTTTGGACAGATATATGACGACATATAACCAATGTGATACTATCAAACTCCTCTGTGCACTGCCTATTTATCCTTCTCTGTTCCCCCTCACCATACCCGACCTCTGTAATCACTTACCTTTCTATTGTCTCCAGAGGTTTGCCTTTTTCAGAATGTCATATAGTTGGAATTATGAAATATGTAGCCTTTTCAGTGTGGTTTATTTCACTTAGTAATGTGCATTTAAGTTTCCCTTGTGTCTTTTCATGGCTTGGTAGCTCGTTTCTTTTTAGCACTGAATAACAGTCCATTGTCTGGATGTACCAGTTTATTTATCCATTCACCTATTGAAGGACCTCTTGGTTGTTTCTAAGATTTGGCATTTGTAAATAAAGCTGTTACAGAAATCCATGTGCAGGTTTTTATGTGGACATAAGTTTTCAACTTCTTTGAGTAAATACCAAAGAGTACAATTGCTGCATCATGTAAGAGTGTGTTTAGTTTTATAAAAAACCATCAAACCATCTCCCAACATGGCTGGATATGGATAGTTTTCACCACAGAATTACAGCCAAGACAAAAATTATATTTGTTTTAGGACAAATGTAGTAGAAAATGAGTTTCAAAAGTATTCACCACAGCTTACCTGGAGCCATGATTTCCAACCTTTTCTCTGTTGTGACATCCATGCAGTTTCACAGGTGTGATTGATTCCAATGGGCTCGCCAAGATATTAAAGAAATTTTCAGTTTTTCTCATCCATCATAGGGTATAATTGGTACAACTATTAACATTTACTGGCATCGTGGCAACTGAACTGCTTATTCAGCATAAATTGTGGTTATACGTGGTTCTCATACATCCAAAGCAAATGAAGGAAAAAGGCATAGGATATGCTTGAATTTACTTCATATTTTCTATAAAAAAAGAAAATGATTTAAAAATGCTGATACTCTATTGTTTGCAACAAATACACTACAGCATGCCACATGCTTGATTGTTACACACTGCTCTGTTCTGATAACACAGTTGAGGACTGCTAGCTTAGAGAACCCTGGCTATGCAGAATAAGCAAGCATTACGAGTTAATAAGACTTTACTACTACTGTTGGGAAGTGGAACTCAAGACCTGAATTAATTGCAGCATACTGGCTTCACTGGAGTGGGCTGTTGACCAACAGCAAGCACTATTGATTATGTTTCTAAAAGAAATGCTGTGATGGAATTTTGAAATCAATACATCTATTTCCATTAGTACTTAAATCATTTGTCATTTTTATGGTGGTGATGGTCACCCAGCTGGACATATAATTCAATAAATTATGGATAAGAATAATGAATGGACTTCATTTACATCAATTAGGATTTTTAAGAAGCTTTGGTTGGCTATCATTTCTGGAGAGTCTGGAGATTTAGAACTCAGACATATTTGAATAAATATTACATGCCAAGAATTGTGCTTGGGCAAGCTATATACATCTTAGAGAGGAGAGAAAAGAAGATTTTTTTTCTCTGGAATTAAGATGCTGTTTAAAGGCCACGAAGGTGTAGTTACATGCAATGGCATCACTGACAAGATCTGAAAAATGAAGAAGATAAAGACATGGAGGACAGTGGCTCTCTCAAGTTTTTCTCCTGTGAAGAAATAAGAAGTTAAACAACCACAAAAAATATTTAAAGTGGACCAATTTTATTTTTTCTTAAGAATAGCTGAATTAAATACTTTTCTTTAATATGAATTGAATTTTTACAGGAGCAGGGAACAATAAACCAAAGTAATAACACATGGAAGAAATCATGTAGACTTTATTTTTTTTCTTACAAGACATCTCAGGGAAAATAGAAGACTTTTTAGTAGGACATTAAGAAAAACAGAGGACTTCCGCCAGGATGGAGGCATAGGTGGAAACACTTTGCTTCCTCGAACAACCAAATCTAAAAACAACAAAGTTTTAACAACAACAGAGGCAACCAAACCACAAAAAACTGAACAATACAAAGTCCGAAAATAACGAAACACTCAGCTAAACCGGTGAGAGAGGTGAAGCCAGCAATGGAGCGGGTTGGACAAAAAAGATTCCCCCACCGAGCAGCACACAGGCAGCCGAGGGCGAAGATCCCAGGTGCGGGGTAGCTTAGGGCGGACCCAGGGAAGCCGCAGTGCAGCTGCCTGTCTGCGGGTCGCGCATTTGTGCACAGACAACCAGTGAAGAGATGAACATGGAGATAGACTGCGCAGGCCTCGGCAAAGGCCCCGGCGAAGGCCCCGGCGAAGGCCCCGGCGCAGGGCAGTGGGCTCGCACATTTGAGCTCAGATAAACAGGTGGGGAGCAAGCGGTGAGGCGCAATGGGTGAGCGGAGAGGACCCCCATTACTCTCTCTCTGACCCTGACCCACATACAGCGTCACAAACCAGTGACCTGGGTGGCCCCACCCTGGTGAACACCTAAGGCGCCTCTCTTCATACATAACAGGCACAAACAGCTCAAAACATGGCTCAAGAACAACTCAGAGCCCCAGAGCCAATAAATCTAAGTGATGAAGAAATAGCCAAATTTTCAGATGCACAGTTCAAAACACTGGTGATCAGGATGCTCACAGAACTGGTTGATTTTAGTCACAAATTAGAGGAACATATGAAGGCTAAACTAATTGAAATGAATGGTAATGTACGGGAAACCAATAGTTATGGAAAGGAAACTGGGACTCAAATCAAGGGAGCAGACCAGAAGGGAGGAAAAAATGACCAAAGAGGAAAATATGAAGAAACAAGAATTCAAAAAAAAGGAGGAGAGGCTTAAGAACCTTCAGAACATCTTTAAACTCTCCAACATCCGAATTATAGGAGTATCAGAAGGGGAAGAAGAACAGTCACGAGTGGAAACCTTATTTGAACAAATAATAAAGGAGAACTTCCCCAATCTGGCAAAGGAAATAGACTTCCAGGAAATCCAGGAAGCTCAGAGAGTCCCAAAGAAGTTGGACCCAAGACGAAACACACCAAGGCACATCATCATTACATTAGCCAAGATTCAAATGAAGGAGAGAATTCTAGAAGCAGCAAGAGATAAGGGGACAGTCACCTACAAAGGAGTTCCCATCAGACTGTCAGCTGATTTCTCAGAAGAGACCTTACAGGCAAGAAGGGGCTAGAAAGAAGTATTCCAAGTCATGAAATCCAAAGACCTACATCCAAGATTGATCTATCCAGCAAAGCTTTCATTTAGAATGGAAGGACAGATAAAGTGCTTCTCAGATAAGACCAAATTCAAGGAGTTCATCATCACCAAGCCCTTATTATATGAAATGTTAAAGGGACTTATCTAAGAAAAAGAAGATAAAAAAGATGAACAGTGAAAGGACAGCAAACTTACAGTTATCAACAACCACACCTAAAACAAAAGCAAATTAAGAGGACAGCTATATCAGGAGCAGAATCATAGAAATGAAGATCACATGGAGGGTTAGCAATAGGGGAGTGGGAGAAGGAAAAAGGGGGAGAAGGTACCTAAAGTAAGTAGCATAGACGGTAGGTAGAAAATAGATAGGGGGGAGGGCCAAGAATAGTATGGGCCGGCCTCGTTAGGAAGTGGAGGAGAATGGGAAGAATAGGAGAGGAGGGCTAAGTAACCTTTTTATAAACAACTGAAAGTTAACTGGTGGGACCTGGAAACATCAAGTGTCTGAAACAGAACTGACATCATAGTGTTACATTTCATAAATGACTGAAAGTTAACTTGTGGGACCTGGAAATGTGAAGTGTCTGAAACAAAACTGACATTACAATTTATGGCGTGGTTGTTTACTAGTTCTACTCATCTAGTTCAATGACTGAGGGCTTTAGATTCTCTGTCTTTTCCTTCCTGGAATTTGTTTAGCTATGATGACATGATTCATTCAATAAATATTTACAGTGTCTAATCTACTTGCCTGACAAATGTTCTCCCCCTAATGCCAACCTGGACCCATCTGGATTCTCACAGTAAATCTGAAAGGAGAAATTAAGGCTTTGGTTATATTATTGTTAGTTCAGTGCTGCCTGGTTCATTTGCTGACTTAATTGCCATGATAACTGGGAGCAAAAATTTACATTATTGTCTATATGCTGTGTAAGGCATTATGCAAGCTATTTGGGATTAGCAGAAAATGAAAATGCAATTACACATTTTTCCCTTGCCATGTTAATTGTTGTTCAAGTACAGTTTTCTGCCTTTTACTCCCATCCCAGTCCAATTATACATTTTTAAGGGAGCTTTTAATCTACTAAAATAGTTTCTAGATCTAAAAGTCATGTGCCAACTCATATTTTTCCTCTTCAGCAATATGGATTATTGAGTATTCCAGACTTAGTGTAAATGGGAAAAAAGATGTATTCATTCATTTAATAAATAGTGGGTGGCTACTATATGATTAGGCAACATCCCAGGCCCCCTGGGTTCAATGTAGCCTATGACCATTTATCCCCTGACTTTACTCAAATGGGGAAATAATTTAAGAAGTAAATATAAACAATAATAAAATAGTACAACTTGTGTTAAGTGCAATGAAGCAAAAAAACACAAGGGTCTAAGACATGGAAAAACAGATGTGAACAGGAAACTGCTGGAAGTTCAGGAGAGCTGTTAGTGAGGGAGAATCAGGGGTTCTGTTTCAGCCACATGAAGTTTGCCTGTGAAGTTTTCAGATGAAGCTGTTTAGGAGGCTATGGTAAGTGTGGGGAGAGGTAAGGTTCAGGGCAGTCCTAAGGTGTCACACTGAAAAGCATGTGGGGAGATGCTGAGCACTCAGCAAAGTGAACTTTGCTGAGAAGGGGCAGTGGGAAACTGAGAAGACCAGGAGAATTTGCCATGATGTGGAAACTAAGACAGTAGATTGTTTAATCAATTCAAGGGTGGGCATGTCAAAAGATGCTAGAGGGTGTCAGAAAGACACAGAAATGTGTGCTCTTATATTTCTATCTTTTGAAGATGGATTTGAATCTTGAAATACTGGGAAGCACAAATAAGTTGGTAGATAGTTGGAAAAATAATATCTTGTGGGGCTGTGCTTCTCTGGAACCATTTTCAAAGCACAGTAACATTTATTTATTGCTTTCTCTACAAATATCCCTGTAAAGTGGCAGGTTGCGTATTGTTATTACCATTTCACTGATGAATAAGTAGAGGTTTGGTGTGGCAGAATTGGCAGAGGTATTCATAGCTATGTACCCAAAATACATACCTAAAATACCCAAATGGAGAAATAATTTAAGAGGTAAACATAAACACTAATAAAATAGTACAACTTGTGTTAAGTGCAATGAGGCAAAAAAACACAAGGGGCTAAGAAATGGAAAAACAGATGTGAATAGGAACAGAGCGTGGTAAATTCATGCTCTCCTTGGCTGGATCGTACTTTTCAGTCCTTAGCTTCTGTCCCTGCAATCAGACATGGGCATATGACTAGTTCTTGACATTGGAGTGAGGGTAGAAACAAGATGTGTCACCTGTAGGCCAGACCATTACAAAGTGGCTGGGACTCCTCTATGTTCTTTATCTTCCACTAGCAAGAAGCAGAGAACTTTAATTCCATCATGAATGGAGGGGGTTAAAACAGGAAGAGCCTAGATCTCTGAACCACCAAGAAAGCTGCCTGATGGCCAGGAATATCTGCACTGAACTGTCCTACGAGCATGAAATAATCTTTTATGACCAATGAAATGCCGGTGTTTGCCACACAGCTAGTGTTACTAAACTAATATATATCTGGGAATATTAAATGTCTTGCACAGTATTCCATGGTAAGTTAATAGTAGGGTGATGACCAGAACTTTTAACTCCTTGTTAAGGCTTCTGGTAGTCCATATTGTACATAAGGTACCATAGGATCTAGGAACAGAGGATGCATTTTACAGAAAACTTTAAAAGGCAGGTAAATA